CCTTAGCCCATGGTCTAGTCGGGATCTCATGTGGGACCAAAGTCTCTTTCTGCTGTCTGTAGTCAACTGACCTGCAGATGTCACACTTACTCACATAAGTCTTAATTTGTTTGTTCATGCCTGGCCAATACATACACTCTCTGGCTCTCCTTAGACAACCTTCTACACCTAGGTGTGTCAAGTGTAGTCTAGCTATGATCTCCTGTCTCATGGTAGTCGGGACAACAACACGTTCACCTCTAAACACAAGTCCATCCTGACTACTCAGTTCATCCTGGAATGAGAAGTATGGTCTGATGTCATCGTCAATGTCTCTTTTGTCAGTTAGCCAACCTCTGTGAATTGTATCTATGAGAATCTGTAGTGCTTTGTCCTCTTGTGTAGCAGTCCTTATGCTGTGTAGTCTGTCAGGTGAGATGGGTGCATGAGTGACCATGTTAATGCTCTCTATTTCCTCTTCTATGGAGCCTTGTGGTGAGCACTCTGGAAGATATGCCCTACTCAACGTATCTGCTAATAACATGTCTTTGCCTGTCACATACATCACATCAAAGTCATATTTCTGAATGCGCATAAGCATCCTTTGCAACCGTTTGGGTGCACTCAACAGCGGTTTTCTTACAATGGTCTCTAATGGTTTGTGATCACTGTTCACTGTGTACTACCAATTTACGACCATATGTGTACTGATGAAACTTCTCCATACTGAAAACTACAGCCAAAAGCTCCTTTTCCATCTGGGCATAACCTTGCTCTGTATGTGTAAGTGCTCTACTCACAAAAGCCATAGGCTTACCCTTCTGCATGAGTGCTGCACCTAACTCTTTGTCAGAAGCGTCGCATTGTACTGTCAGCTGGGCAGTAGTATTTCAGGACTGGAGCCTCTGCTATAGTCTCTTTCAGTCTCTGGAATGCGTCTTCATGTCGAGTCGTCCAGTTCTACTCACTGTCTTTGTGTGTCAGTTGTCTCAGTATGTAGCAGTGGTCAGACAGATGTGGGCAAAACTTTGCTAAGTAGTTCACCATACCTAACAGTCTCTGTACTGCCTTCACGCCTGTAGGTCTGGGCATTTGTTCTATAGCCCTAACCTTCTCTGGGTCTATTTTCAGATCGTTGCATGTCAGCTGATGTCCAATGTACGTAGTCTCCTTCTGTTTAAGTTTAAACTTGTCTGTGTTTAACTTAATGTTTTTCTGCCTGCAACGAGTCAAAAACTGTCTCAGCTTCTCCTCGTGGTCACATACTGCTTCAGCATCTGTGTCCCCCTGACCTGTGATCAGCACATCATCTGCAATGATGTACAGTAGATCGTCAGAGATAACCAAACCAGTGTCCCTTGTCCAAGCCTCTTTAATATGGCAAGAGGGGGCTGCCGAAGAAAAAAGGTTGACAAGCCGAGAAATTAAGTGTTTTGAGGTGGGAGGTTCGTTCATCATATTGTAAAAGACATGCTGTATGGGGATGGTATCTAAATTTGAGAATGCTTGCTTGACATAATTCCTAATTTGTAAGTACCGAAAAAAATGACTTGTAGGGAGATTGTACTTTGTCTGAAGCCTAACCGTTATTATGGTGCATGGTAGGTGATATGTTTAAAAGCTGGGTAGGACGTTCTGTGACAAACCACTGGTTTGTATTTATGGGAGGGGGTGTTACGGCCCTAGCTGGGCCTCCTGATACTGCCCTTGTGTGGGTGTGGTGTTTTTCTCCGCCTCCTCCTCTCTTGCTCCTCTCTGTCTCTCTCTTGCTCTTCTCTCTCCCCAGGACACAGCTCATTGGACTCATTTACCACCTGGGCCGAGTCAGCAATCACTTCTCTGAGGTCATATAAGCTGGGGATGAGCTGTGAGCAGGGTGGGGTGTTTCTCTGGTGTCTTCTGCTTTGTGTTCTTGGTGTGTAGTTAGCCTGCCTGTAGGGTGGAGTTGTGGAAACAGTATAGCTGCTTTACGTGAGTAGTGTGGGCTTGTGGGCCTTGGCAGCAGTAAAGCCAGCTGCTGTTAGTGTCAGGGTGAGCTTGTGGGCCCCTGGAAGTGCCTCCTCGTGGTGTGGAGTTTTTGTTTGGTTGTTGTGTTCTTTGTTGTTGCAACCTTTTTTTCCCGTTTCCAAGTGTTATTGGTAAAACGGCGTTGCCGGCTCTTTAGGTTAAGATTGTCTATAATAAAGACCATTTTATTTACTAAGAACACCTGTTTTCCTTTCATTCTGTTCTGGACTCATTTGTTACTGGTCCCCTCACTCGCATGCCTAGACCCCTTCGGGGGGAACGTAACAGATAATCAGTAGAAAACGCTGCTTGTTTCTGGCTCAGATCTTGCCCTTCGGACGGGTGTTGTAGTTCCTTCCCAAATGCACCGATCACAGCTGCGGACTCCTGCATCTCCGGAACACACACCGGCCGCGTTCCAACCACTGGCGTCTCCGGAACACACCCCGGCCAAGCCCCAAACACCAGTGTCGAGGCAAGGTCTCTTCTCTGTTCAAACACTGATGGTCCGGGATTTAAATGTATATCCCCAGCTAATAGTAATAATATACAGTAAACAAAGTTTGCAGCACATGCCCCTTGTGATGGTGTTTTGAGGATTGCGAAGTATTCTTCACTTTCTCATTTTTACTTCTTCTCATCGGAGTAAAGATGGAATACAACGCCAAATATCCATGACCAAACAAATGTCATTTTATCTGGTTATCAGCGGTTGGGCCCATTGAACCTTCAAACGTTGATGTAGCCATGTCCTCTGCTGATTTTAACCATGATCCACTGGGAAAAAATTACAGCAGACAGCAAAATAAAAACATACGGGCCTTTTGTTGAACTAGCGACTTCTTGCGGACTGGTTTTCTTTGCTTAAAATCATCCTGAGAAGTGCTGAAAGTTTGCTGTAATATGTAAATCAGAGCATAAAACAGCGATAAAGAGAATGTCAGAATAAAGAGCGTTAAGGTGGAGCCCAACAACCCACTCTCCGATTGTCCGACACGCTCAGTCGCCATTTTGCTATCTCTTAAGGTCATCTTAGCATTGAGAAAATCTTACGTCGCAGCTGTACGAGCTAGCTACGTGTTTTGTAAACCACTGTGCTCTTCACAAATAAAGCTTGAAGCAGCTCAGACTATTAGAACCAGCACTGGGCCCTGTTTCGTTTATACAGAGTTAGAGCAGTGGCTGTAACCTACCTTTAAACTAGGGATTAAAATGCTGACAGTAAACTCGTCAGTCCAGATGTTACCACATTACTTTGTGATACTTAGAGTTAAAACAACTGAGACAGGCTGATTAAAATAACAGCTGTTAGTTCTCTCATTCCTTATATCAAGACTGAAGATCACACTACTGATTTCAGTTCATTTAATATGTGAGTGCACAGATTCATTCTCAACTGGACGTAAATGATGATCAAAGGTTGTATATATGATGAATTCATCAAATCCCAACCTCTAACACAGTGCGCTGAATCTTAGCTTTGAATGTCCAGTATATTCTAATCAGTGCAATTTAAGCATTCACTGAACCTACAGTATCTACACCTGTGTGGCAAATGTGTGGTAAAGACACAGATAATGAAATGTAATTATTAATACAATATACATCATGAAAAACAAAGCTGAAATTGATTCAGTTTAGTACTTTTCTCTGTATGCTCTGTGATTATAAAGGCCTTAAATTCTGTGATATATACTGTAAATGATTTTCACAGAGGTCTTAAAGTCTTAAATCACTGCTGATAGTCTGGTGGTTTACACTGTTAACCTTTGCTGTATTTTTCACAGTAAAATACCACAAAATGCCCAGTAACTTACCTGAAAACATTTCTACAGTTAATTACTGTAATTTGCTTTGCATTATGGGTATATTAAGGTTATTTACATTTACTTACTGTATTTTTTAAAATTGCGGTAGTAGTTATACCTACCGTTAACACATTAGCAGTAGTGCTACTGTATTATGTGATTTGAATGGTTCATCATACTGTTTGTGTATTTTTACTCTTTCAGTGGTTGGTTGCAATAGTGCATTACATTTTAACTCTTTCACTGCCAACCATTTCCAGATTTTCCTCCAACCTATGCCATTTGTCAGTATGATACCAGTGAAAGTATTCATGGTCCTGGGCCATGTTGGCCCAGTATTCTTAGTTTTCTTGTATGTTTGTATTTTGTTCCCTATTTAGGCCATGTTTCCTGAGTTGCCCTGTTGTGTTGTTCCCTAAGTGTTTTCCCGTTGTGACTCTCACCCCCTGTGTGCCCCTCTGTGTATTCATGAGCCCTCGTCCCCTTTCGTGTTTATTCCGTGTCTCCCCTGCCCGTTATGTTGGTGTTCTACTCGTGCTCTCTCTCCTCCTGTCTGAACCTCTGTACTTCCTGTTTCACCTCGCCCGTCTCCCGTCAGTGTTGTGTTCACTCCTGCCATGTCTCGTGATTATTATCAGTGTCACCTGTGTTCCCCGTGTGCTCCCATTTCCCTCGTTAACCCTCTGTGTATTTATGTCTGCGTCTCCCTCAGTTCGGTGTCGTAGTCTCCCTCATGGCTGTGTTTCCCTGTGTGTTAGTCATCCATGTTCCAGTTTAGTTTTCCATGCCATTCTGCAATAAAGCAGCTTTTTGAGTTTAATTTCATTGTCGTGAGTTTTGCGTTTGGGTCCTTCTCCTGCCTGTACACAGCCGAAACATGACAAAGTATAGTTTTGACTTTTTAGGGGACTTGCCTGTGTGTAAGGTTCAAGAATTCTGATCATCTAATCTGCTGCATGCAGTTGTATGCACATGCACAGCTGCTGCAAATGTGTGCTTGCCACTGCAGTTGCCAAAGGCGAACTTCAGTCAGTGGAGAATATTGTAATAATTTGGCGGAGGCTTCTCAGTCGAGCAGTAACTGAATTGCTCATTTACTGAACGTGCAACATGTACAGAGCTCTTCTGGGAACTAGTCAACCCAACTTAGTGAAACACACACTGAATGCATGCTGGCCCCGCCCACCCACCCATCCACCTAGACAGTCCAACTTTGTTAACTCTTCATTACGATATGCTCGAGAGGACAAAAGATTTTGCACCTCGTTATTGTTGGACCTCTGTGTGGAAACTGCAAACGGGACGTCATAAGGTAATGCAAAGGACTCTCCTACCTAACATACTCGTTTATTAATTTTTAAGAGCATATATATTTTTTTGTGTGTGTGGGGGGAGGGGGGGCTTAAAATCGGTGTTAGCTTGGTCGAAATAGCACATTAGCTGAATTATTCTGGAAAAAATAGGTTGTGTGTGTTTTTTTCTTTTCTTATTTAAATATACATTTAGATATATATTTTCCACGGGGAGGGGCGAAGAACACAGGCGCAACGACAGTCTTTGTCTTTTTCCCGCCGAGTGTGGTGCATTGTTCTCCTGCGCTTCTGTTCTATGACTATTGAGAAGCTGGCCACGCTAACAGTGGGACATTTAGCTTCAGCTAAAGCAGCAGGTAAAAATACACATTTAATGAGAATAAAGAAAGACAACTTTTTTTTGGAAATTTAGAGACTGCTAAAACAATCTTATCCAGTTTTGAGCTTGCTCATGTAGGTTAGCCTGCTTTATTTAATTTTGTGTGAGCTGCAGTACACAACATTAAAAAGTTAATATAACATTAGGTTGGTGGCGCGAGGAACTCCAACCTAAGTTTAATATTTATTATTTTTTTAACTGGGAAGGGGAGCATGTTTTTTTTCCTTTAATACAACGTCTTCCAGGGTCTTTTTCATAGGAAAACCATGTAACGTCTGTGTTAGGTTGGTCAAAAGAGCAATTAGTTGAATTATTCTGGAAAAGATGGGTTGTGTGTTTTTTTCTTTTATTTACTTATGTAAATATATTTTTCAAGGGTTAAATAAATGCAACATTAAATTAACAATTGTCTCTCTGTCTTTTCCCGCCCAGTGTGGTGCATTGCTGTCCTCCTGCCCTTGCTGGCCGCGCTGACAGTGTGATGTAGCCTCAGTTTTGTGTTTTAAAGGCTTTTTCCACCAAGATGTCTGTTGAGAGAGAGATGACCTTACCCATCACACCAAGGGTAATAGCGCTTGGTAAGTAAATAGTTTCAATCCTCTTGTAATATTTTTGTAAAAAATCTATGTAATTATTGTGGTATTTGTACCCACAACAACTTACTTAACAGGGGTTTGTCTGTTTTATATTGTATAAAAATAGAATACACACAGTTTGCTGCTGTTTCTCTTATTATACACAATGACCAACAGGAAAAAACAGCCTAACATTTCAGCACAGGCCAAAATGCCAAAACATTAGGCAGTTTTTTCCTGTAATTGATCATAATTTTCATTACATAATAAATAATAAGAGAAATAGCAGCAAACCGTGTGGATTCTATTTTTGTACAGTGTGAGGCCTGCTATCCAGCATTCTTGTGGAAACCTTATTTGTAAGGGTGAGCACATTGTCTTATTGGACTCTTGTCTGTTTTTAGGGAATAATTTCATGTCTCAAGCCGCTGGATGATCAGTTTGGAGGGCAAGGCATTTTATGAGCCTGAGCAGATGCATGACTTTGCCAGCACCCTTGCTGTCTTCTTTGCGTCATACTACGTTTTCAACCTTGAGTATCAGGAGTCAGCGTCCATCACACTGGAGATGATACAGAGGTAAATACTTTACACCATTAAAGCTTACACCATTTAAGAATGAAATATATGTGATAGCTTGACTACAGTTGCAGAAACATATAGGTGATTGCTGTAATGTATGTTTTAATTTTGAAATTAAAGCAGCCTTTTTTCCGTTAAAAGGTTCTTTGTGAGGATCAATCCAGACATGGGAACAAAATGCCCTGCAAAACTTGGTACAAGCCGCAAGACAGGTCGTGTCGTAAAGAGGAAGGTTACAAGCATCAGCCCTCGGATCACCACCTTCCTCCAGCGGCTCTCTGAGTTTGAATGGAGGACTTCCAACTAGGTAAGAATACAGAGATGATAATATCTTTTACATAGCTGATAATTATATACATACTGTACACACATCCATACAACAGTATGAATGATCTCAGACAGATGTGAACAAGTGAATAACCTGAGCAAACATGAATATTGATGATGTGTCTTTGACAGGTGGTGATAAAGACTACGCTGAACCCGACCATCCTGGTAACGGAAATCTAAATCCCATGTCACATTCTATTTCCTGGGACCCACTGATAATTATTACATTTTGTAAATGATTTTTGTTTTACAATTGTAATAGTTTATTTAATGTTCATGCTGGTGGGTTTGTCCTGTTTTTAGTGGAATGAAAAACTGTTTTCCTTAAAAAAAATCAGACACAGAAAGGTGAAGGACTGTGTAGTTTTCATGTACGCTTCTATTTATTTTGGTTATTGACATTGTTTTTATTCATATATAATATATATATATATATATGTTCTTCCTCTACAGCCCCCCCCAATTTTTGCACATGTCGAGGAGCGTGTTCAGGCTACATTTCACTGTGTGTTATACTTGTATAACTATGCATGTGTTAGGTGTGGCTGTGTGCAGGCAGGAATAGGACCCAAGGTGCAGACTCCGGAGACAGACGTGAACTCAAAAAGGCTTTAATGCTGAACGCAACATGACATAACTAGAAAAACTCAAAATAAACTTACACCGGTGGACAGGCAAAACACACAGCAAAATAAACGGTAGATCGCGACACAGACACTAAGAAACACAGGGCTTAAATACACAGAGGGAGCAATCAGGGAATGGGTAACAGGAGGGAAACACAGCTGGGGCAAATCAGGCCTAACGAGACAAGAGGAAGCAAAACCAGACACATTAACATCAGACATGGACTTTCAAAGTAAAACAGGAAACACATAACACAGACTGAACAAAGACACAGACTCATATGCAGGCACTACAAAGGGAACAGAGACGTGGGAACAGGGCAGACACAAACACTGACTGAACACGGGGATATAGGAACTTAGGATACACATAGACGCGAACTAGACAAGGGGATGCAGGTGATAGGGGAGACAGAGCACTTAAAGAAGACAGAGACATAAGCCATAAGACAGAACTCAAAGAAACCAAAAACTAGGAAGAATAAATAATATCAAAAACTCAAAAACCCTGGGTCGACGACCCAGGCATCCTAACAATGTGACAAATAAAGAACCTTGAACCTCAAACCTTGAAAATTCCAGTAGCAACATTTGCCTGACATCTACTGGACAGAAATTGTCATTGCAATTCAAATATCCCGACTATCATTTTCAAAAGTGCAATTTTACAATTTATTATTATTATTATTATTATTATTATTATTATTATTATTATTATTATTATTATTATTATTATTATTATTATTATCTGTCCCATTTGGTTCTCTAGCAATCGGAATTTTGGTCTGAAGGCCAAGAAAAATGCCTAACTACTACTTACTACTACTTACTACTGACATGACTGGGGGATAGGAAAAGGAGAAAGAAAGAAAGAAAGAAAGAAAGAAAGAAAGAAAGAAAGAAAGAAAGAAAGAAAGAAAGAAAGAAAGAAAGACCGAGCCACAGGTGCCAGGCTACCATCAGGGAATGTGGTAGGGGGAGATAGGCTCCCAAATACAGAGTAGTTTGTATCTGATCAGAAGTGCAAAAAGCAATAAGTTCAATGAGAGCAGATTATGATGGTAACTTTAACCAAGAATCAGAAGATCCACTATGAGCAAGACTTGCTGATGATGGGAAGAAAGAACTCACTTTTAACAGGAAGAAACGTCAGGTGGAACCAGGCTGAGCCTTTGGCAGCCTAACTGAGGGACGGTTCAGGCAGAGCCCTTCAGTAAATAGGAATTATTAATCTATAAATGCATTCATTTTCAATATTTACATACCACATACAATTGTTTATACAGTTACAAATATACATGCATTTTAACAGTAAAATATGAGAGGATTTGTCTGAACAGTTACTGTTTCCCGGAGCCGTTCAGTAAAATGAATTATCGAGCTTTAACTTCAACTTTCTGCATAAACACAACTAAAACTTTTATTCTCTATTTCTGAATTCAGACTCTGTATCTGTCATTGCTGTAAAAAAAAAGAAGATTGTCCATTTCAGTGAATCTGCTGTGTTTATATTTTCCTAATCATAGCTCTTTAGCTAGCCATTACACAGTACACTATCATATACCAGCTAGCTCAACTTCAGTAACCCTAAATGTTGCTGCTGTTTATTTTGTCTGCCTTTCTTTATGTCAGAACTGATACCAGAGCTGTACATTTAAAGTTTTCAGAAGTCCCTCAGTCAGAACATGGTGTATCATCTTCAGAGAGCTAACTAGAGAACTAAAGAGCTAACTTCATAAATCCTGTTTTTCATAGATGCCTGAATGTTAAACTTTATTATTACATCTGGTAGAGCAGCCACACTGATCATTTTGTTTTTATTTATGAAAGAATGTAGATGGTTTTAATTCTCAGGGATTTGTTTGAATTTTGGGAACTGACGCCAAACTTAAAAGGCGGCTAGAAATGACGTAACTCTTCCATTCAATGGGTCTTGGTTCAGGGTCACCTGATCCAGCCCTAACTATATGCTTTATCAAAAGGGAAAGTTGAACTCTAATCTTGAAAGTAGAGAGGGTGTCTGTCTCCTCAACACAAACTGTGAGCCACCAAGCTGTTCATTTTTTTACCACAGAAAAGTACTGCATTAACTGTTCAGCCACTCAGAGATAAATATATATGTATAAATGTGTCTGTAATTCCTGAATAGTTAATGTGGTACTTTTCTTAAAATTGTAAGTCTGCACTTCAGTCTCAGCTTGGTAGGCTGATTTCAAATGTGCTGCAGTGGTGTACAGAGGCATCCCCCCTACAGAAAACGTTATGGTCTAAGAATAGTGGAATTATACATTCTAACCACACGGTGGCTCTAATCTCCCAGTAGTGTAGCCAAACTATGTCATGCAACAGGTTTTTAACCTCATTGTTACAGGAGAATGCATTTTTAAGCTGATTTGGCTTTGTTTGTGGCCAACAGCGTGACACCTAGCACCTGCTAGCTGCACTGCACTCATGCTGGGCACTCATGCTGGGCACTGATCAGCCTCACTACAACAGTTTGGACAAGGTGCCTTTTCTCAGGAATGAGAACTTGTTAACATTTGACACAGGAAACTACAGTAGCGTAGAGCTGCTATCCAGGCAAAAGAAAAATAGAGATATATTATGTTATAACATGAAAAGTTTATTGTTCTAACAATATACTTTTATGTTTGAACAATATACAATCATGTTGGTACGATATACTTTTCACATTTGAACAACATAAAATCACTTTACAATATACATAATTATCACGTTATAACAAAAAACCTTTCACGTTCTTACATAGTAAGTAAATAAATATTAAATAATATATTGTACGAATGTGATAATTATGTATATTGTAATAACGTGATTTTATGTTGTTCAAACATGAAAAGTATATTGATGTGGTCAGTTAAGTATCAGAGGGCGTTGTTAGTCAGTTTCTACTGCTTTAGTGTTACTGACATGAATAACAGGTTTCACCTCCATCCGTCTCTCTGCTTTGGTTTTCTTTCTCTCTCCTATGTCAGTTGTTATTGTCTGTGCTTGTGGGCGGGATTCATCCTGGATTCTCTGGCCCGATAGATCTGCAGTAATCACACACCTGTCTCCGATGATCTCATCAAGGCCACTTCGTCAGGCAATGGCTGGCAGCCAGTCTTTTCTAGAAGGTTGAGCTACTGTCAGTGAAACCCTGGTTGCATTGTTGCTATGTAGCCACACTGTTTCTGCGCTCCCTGGATACTCACCATGTGCTTCTTCTGTTAGGATTCCTGAATTCCCTTCCCTGGTGTGTTGCTGGAAAGAGAGTGTTAGTTGTGAATAACTGGATGTTTGGACTCCCTTTCTTCCTGGAGCAGTAGTCTCCGCTTTTGTGTTTTTGTATTAATAACCTCACTTTAAATAAACTGAACTGAACAGGTGCAGTAGAGGGGCAACAATGAGACAACCCCCAAAACAGAAATGGTTTTACAGGTGGAGGCCCCCTGACATTTCTGCCCTCCATCTTTAAAGTGTCAATACCAGCACTAGTATAAGTAGTTCAGAGTAATACTAGATGCTAGATACATTGTTACTTTTTGTTTTTCCAAGTGCAGTATTTAGCCCAATGATTTGTGTTAATTAGTTGTTTTGGAAATGGAAAAATATACCTTCAAATATGCACTATGAGAAGTGTCTGAAGCTTAGTGTGTGGACTGTTATGTCTATATTTTCCTACAGTCCATTTAAAAAACAGAGGAGGATCCAAAGTGCTTTAAAGAGAGGCACATTTCCATTCCAGCTCTGCAAAAAAACAACAGTCTCAAGTTGCACAGAAAAACTGAAAAGTGTTATTGTGTTATTGTAGAAAGTAAAAATCACAGTGAGTAAGTACTCGTTAAAATGTGTTGAGAAGCATGCATACATTTATATCTTAAGCTTGATAAAAGTGTTTTCCTATTCTGAGAAAGTGTTTTCCATTAATGTGGAAAATAAAACCAAAATGATCAATTATTTACATCAGTGATCACAAAAGAGGACGGCTATGGCTCTCATAATCCCATTCAACTGCAGCCAACAGTGAGATATGCTGTGTGTGTGTGTGTGTGTGTGTGTGTGTGTGTGTGTGTGTGTGTGTGTGTGTGTGTGTGTGTGTGTGTGTTGTGCTTCTGCGGTCAGACACATTTGCATAGCATTTGTGTTTTGTGCTGCCTTTTGAAAACTTGTTGACATTTTGCTTAAATGGCTCCAGTCAGGATGAATTTACCCTCAAATACTTCCTCTCCTAACAGTTCATTCTCTGGGATCACAGTAAGCCGCAAAAGCCACTGTCCCACTGTAGCCACAGCTGCGGAGCAACAGCTCGGCTCAGAATGGCAAAGGCAATGACTGCAGAGTAGGGCAAACAGTTTCGTCTTCAGAGTTTAAAAAAGAAAGGTAAAAACAAAATCATATGATCAGAAATTGCAGATATGAAACTAAAGTGTTTCCCATTTCCCAGTCTCTGCGGTAAACATTCCTGTCCTTCCCGCACATACTGAAGGTAAAATGATTCCGCACTGATACTTTGTGCCAAGAATGTTTCCTTCATTTCCTTCACTGCATTGTTTGGGTTGTGGTGTGAATCTTTCACATTGCATCCTCAAATGCCAAACCGTGATATTTACAAAACTCCTGCAACACATGGGATCAACGTCAGAAGCATTGATGAGTCGTTGTCGTGCATGTGTAAAGAAACAATGTGTTGAAATAGTGGAAGGAAGTAAATAGTCCTTCCCAACTGTAGTAGGTGTGGAGCAGTTATGTCCAAGTTTCAGCAAACACAAGCTGGTTAGTGCTGGTTACTAAAATAACAACTCTGAGTTTCACTCTGACCCACAGACCACCACAGATGCTCATACTGACCTATGTCTCAGACTTCATTACACAACACAATATAATAACCTGTTTTTTCCTTTAACAGTCTTGTGAAGTAGTGTTCACACATACACATAGTATATTATACTGTTTTTAATGTCATTCTAATTTTTCCATTTTATCCCAGTGCTTACATTACATTACGGCTTTGCACATGTCTTTAATTGCTGGTGTTAATTGCTGCCCTCATTACTTACTTCCTGTGCTAGCTTTTTGCTCTTTATACATTACAGTGGCAGCCTGTTTGTTTGACCTGCCCTCTAACAACAGTGCTGTTACATTGTGACAAGTCACGGCAAATTTAAATACAACAGACATTAACAAAGTGCTACACTACAAGTAAATCTACCAGCAAACAGTGCTAAACAGAGCAGATAATTAGAGAATAAAAAATAATATAACAAGAAAAGATACAACCTGTTGAAATAAAGTAATAAAAGAGGCCTATTGGGGAAAAATGACACTGTCAGAACCTGAAAATGTTGGGACTTACATACTGTTAGTGAGGGAGATGATCTTTTCTGAAGAGGGAAGAGGTTTGGAGCTGAAAATGAGAATACCCGGTACAGGCAGTGTCAGGAATCTGCATTACTAAAAGATGCTGATCACCAGCAAATGTATGCAAGACTGGTTGAAAGTGGTCTCCAGCTGCTGCTTGTGAAGTTGACTTTGTGATTTCGTTGCCCTTGTTAAAGCATCTGACACAATATTGACGATGAGCCACAGCAGAGTGAGTGATTGAGTTCTTTTATTCTGTTACAGCTTAAGTCCTCGAAGAGTGTCAGAGACCGTGACTCTGTGAATATTATTACTATTCTTAATTTCTGTCAAACACTTTCTCTTGTGTATGGTATCAGAGATGAGTGTAATTAAATGTGTGCACTGTGCAGTCATCTTTATTTAAAAAAACAACAACAAAAAACACCCCTTTATTGCCAGCACTATTGAGACGGCTGAAAACTGTACTGGGTTGTTTAACATTATGTCAACACCGAGTTTCAGCTAAATTAAACAGGAAATGCTACATGTCTTTGTGGCACCTTGCAAACCAATGCACACATACTATAGGGAGACACTATCACAATATTTCACTTTGGTCCTTCATTCTGTTCACATAATCTACTAAATCTCCCAGAATTATACTCAGATCAGACGCGTTTGGGTCTACCAGTGCTACTTTTTGCACTTATTGCTAAGTTATGGCACTGGAAGGTCTGCTATCGTTCAAACGGCCCAAAAATCATGGGCCTGACATTCATAACAGCGTATGTTGTGTAGGTTAGATGTGGTCCCAAATGTCACAAGACATCTGAAATCACAAAGTTAACAGGAGGAGGTGGTGGTTGGGGTGTCAACATTCCATTAACCATTCCTCTCGCGGGAATGAAACATCGCGAAGTTTCCTGCTATGTAGTGTCTTGGTAGCAGCAAGAATCAGGCAATCGGAGTAGCAGCGAGCCGTGGAGGCAAGTCCAAGAAAGGTGGAGACTCCTGGGTAACGTCCTGCACTCAACTCTAGAAGCACTACCGAGAGACACAACCAGGGAGGCTGCTGCCGCTGCTGGAGCGAAGACGAATGGATATACCCCTCATCTGGCTTCTTTTTCATCAGTAACTCGACTAGAAAACTCTTGGCGGTTGGCCGTGCTCATCTACCTGGTTAGTAGTTAGCTAGCAGCGAGGCTGCTGGACGACAGAATCCCAGCATTTGATCGCGAGGCGCCGAGAAGGACAGGAATGGGTGAGTTTCCATGATGTGGCGCTTGTGTGTGTCTGTTTGTGTTCATACGTTAACGGCTTTTTATTTCCCCACCCAGCCCGCAATCGTAACCCACACTGAGCTTCAAATTAAGGGTCTTAAGTTACGCTGTCAGCGTCCCCCCTCCCCCCTTTTTTATACCAGCAGGGAGTTAAAGTTAGCCAGCCTTGGAAGCTAGCCTAGCCAGCTAGCTGACTGCCTGGCTGGATAACGCCACCTCCATCCCACCAACGGATTTGGCTGTGGGTGTAGCTAATGTTACCAGGAGCTTCGAGTGAGCTCAAGTCCACACGGCCTCCGCGAAAACACTCACTGTGCTGAAAATAGCGTAGCAGCTCGGAATTCCCATTTTATTCCCACCCGGCAGAGGTAATTATCCAAACTGAGGATAGAAGTGCACAGACTGGAAACTTGTGACGTGAACCTGGCGTCTTTGGCTCTGAAAGGTTATTAATAACTTCCTCTTCTGACGTTTGCTCTAAGCCTGATGTGATTTGGAAGTTTTCCGTGGCATACTCTCCTTGACTTCCCACACCCTAATGCATGCCATCCTCCAGTTTCCTCTGCTTCGTCTTGCGTGATCGTACACCAGGGTCTTTTTTTTAAGGTGGACTCAATATGATAGAAAAAATGAAGTGGATTCTTCCAGACTTAAACAACTGTGTAACTGCAGCTTTTAATGTTGCACACATCTCTGTCAAGGAGAGTGTGGTGCTGCTGTTGTGACCGTCATGCTGCTTTTGCTGTCAGCATGCAAAGCAAACCTCTGATGTGTGTGGATGTGTGTGTGTGTGTGTGTGTGTGTGTGTGTACAGTGCAGACCTCCCCTGTTGTATCATCAGACTGGCTCTCTGTAGGCTGTGGTTAGTGTAGCGGTGTGCACTTGTTATCTTTGCGTGAAATTTTACTTATTTACTGTATGCTGTAAAACCGGTTTTAAGCTCAGGCTTTTGCAGCTTTGGGTGTCTGGGACTTTTTGGGATTTTCAAGTGACAGAGATGCTTAAAAAGACCCACAGCCACAGGGCTTTTAACTAGCTTAGAGTTACTGTGTCTGGCTTTGCTATGCCTTTGATCAGGTAGCTCATTCATAGCTGCGTTTGAACATGTCCCAGCTATGTGAGTGAGCCCCCTCACTCACACTGTTTGCTTTCCCTTCTCTTAGTTTAGGCTACAAGCAGTCAGCCTCAAGGTGACAGATCTCCTGGTCTTTAACTTTTAGCTTTTTTATGACAAGAAAGAAAGGAAGATGGGTTGCCTGAGATGACAAAGAAAAAGCAGTCCCCAGATATCAGCATAGAACTTTTCATTACACACATAACTGGAGCAGCAGGATGTGAATTCCACAGCAGAGCCTAAATCAGTCTGGACACGGGCCAAACTGTTTGATTTAATATTAAACCCAATCTCTGCTGGCCTCAGCCAGTATTTAACAGTCTGTCGTCAGTGTTGACCTCCCACCCTGGCGTTGGTGGCGTTGGGAACGATCATTTCTCTAGAGCCGTGTCTAAATATGTTGCTGTTTTTGTCAGCCTTTGAAAACATCTAAAGACAGATGTAAATGCTGTCACCTGTCAGCTGATATCTGTCACAAGTAAGGGATTAAGGTAGACTGGATCATTCATGGCCATATGGAGAGCATTGACTATCAGTGCTCTTTCACTGGTATCCACTTGTTTTTGGCTGTGAACGTTGGATGAAACTCTTGTCTTTTTACTGTGTTGCCGTGCTTTGGGTCTCCTGATTTCCAAAAGGGTTGCAACCCTGTTCCAATGTCATCCTTAGTCTTTACAGCTGTGTTAGCACTGTTCATGCGTGAGGCGTCTTTAGTTTAGCTTTTAAAGCTAGTTTTAACATCTATTCTAATGTTATCTGTTTAGCTAGCAATGTAACACATCATTGTGAAGTCCAACTTCACTGATCCTCCAGATGTTGCAGATGTTTAATACCCAGCAGTGCTCTGTCTTTTTTCCCCTTTAGGAAACAAATCAGGCATAGTACGGTTTATCAGTTAGCTAGCTAGCTAACTGATAAACCGTACTAACTTACTGCAAAATTCTAACTGCATTGTTTTTTAAGGTTTATCAAAAAAACTCTGTGTGGTACATCCTCCATCCTCAAGACAATGTCTTGCTGTCCATGCAGAGCAACAGCCAGAGAGTGAAAAACAAAAGAGCTCTTCTCTTTGAGTGCAAACGTTGTACATAAATATAGCTGAAGACACACAGCACATCCATTGTCTTCTGCTCATATTTATTGGGACTTTTTTGTAGTTATAAGATTTAAGTTGTTGTTGTGACTGCTCCCATCCCCTGGGAAAAGTTTTGGTTATTCAGCCAAGCCCCACATTTTACTGAGCTTAATTTGTTGGGAGCCAAAAAACCCAACCAGTGTTGAATAGTGGGGCTTGCTGTGGAAGAGGAGCATCTTAACGTGGAAGAGTTGGAAGGACCTGAGGTAATGTTATTGGTTGTCTTTTAGACTTAACAACCAGCTTCTAATCTAGTGTTGGGGGTTTCTGATAGAACAAGCTCTCCTACATTGTGTTTAAATAGTCCTTTTTCAGTATGTGTCACTTTAACATCAATAGTTAGCATTGATGTAAGCCATCTCAGACTGCCGGGACCTGTTTGACACGCATACCTGCTGTTTGCTTATAAAGCTACTGGTTAAGTCCCTAGTAGAGCAGGACCTGTTTAAATATTAGCTTAAAATAGGGGTCCCACTGAAGGCGAGTTTGACTAGTTGACTGAAACTTAAACTCCATTTGTGTTTAATGTGTGTTAAGGCGTCAGTAAAACAACCTGTTAAGCTGTTAAATGGGGAGAGAATCCAGGCAGTGAGTGTCTTTTCTCCTAGCAGCACACTGCTCTTTGTATCAGCCACCTCTCAGATCAGGGGGGAAGGAATGCAGTTATGAGTTTCCTCCTTACTGATCGTGTGTGAGTGACTGAGAGAAGCACGCAGCCTGCCTGGCAGTCGGCTCGCTTGCGTGGCCTTGTGTACCCCCCAACACCCTTCGCTCCTTCCTTCCTTTCCCCCCTTTTCTCTCTCCCCTGTAACATCCTCCTCTCTGTCATCAGCTTATATAAGATCCCAAAGTCTTCACCTGCGCCGTGCAAGGCGAGTCAAACCAGTATAGCTCGTCTATTGATTGTGAGCTCACAGTGGGAATTTGCTGCTCTTTGCATTTACGAATTTGATAGCTATGAGTGTAGTTGGGATATGTATATTTAGATTGAATAATATTTTTTCCCCAGCTGAGTTGAATCAGAATGCGCAATGACTAACCAGAGTTGCAGCAGAGGTGGACAGACACTTCACCTGGTCTGGGTTCTTTCCTCTTTTTTTTTTTTTTTAAAAAAAATTGTTCTCTTGGCACAAAGACAATAATCATTCTGACACATGCACATGTGAAAACTATTCAGTCTGTTTTGGCTTCTCTAAAATATACAGGTAACAGTTATCACCTATGTTAATTTTGGAGGGTCAAGGGATGATTTTCCTTATGTATGTTTTAAAATCTTGTAATGAATGCTTGAAAAAGTATAATGAAGTCGTGTGGTTTAATTTCAGTTAATTAATTTAGTTCAACTTCAAAATTTTTTTTTAGTCTGCAAGTCAGTACTTTTACTTGGTAAGCAAAAGGTCACTGGTTCTATTCCAGCCGGAGATGGAAATCCCCCTTGGGGTTGCGTAAGGAAGAACATCCGCCATAAAAACTCTGTCAAACAAAACATGCAGACAATACCTGCTGTGGCCAGTAGCTGCTCCTTCTTCTATAACTGGAAATTGCTAGAGGTAAAGCAAAATGGACAGCTTCCTGATTGAATAGAAAACAAATATCCTATCTGTGTTAGCTCATGCCATCTGCAGTGTGTCATGGTACAGTTAAATGCAGTTTATCCTACAGCGCTAGACTGGATTTATGAAAGTATTATTGTCATGTGGAGCTTGCAGCAGATCTTCAGAGTAGAATTGTTACTGTTGCCATAGACTTGAGTTGGAATTCATTTGACTGTCTTGATTATGATATTTTCGGGCATTTGCTGATCTGTTCGTCCAATGAACACTACTTTGTTTACCTAATAAAATATTGGTGACGGTAATACAGCCAATCACAAGTCTTCAAACATAGGGAAGATGGTTAAATATAGGCCTAAATGACAGTTGGATGTATCAGTGTCTGGTTCTATAGGCAACCACTTTACAACCAGTAGTAATTGCTTCAGTCATTTTCCTGTGTTGAAGAACTTGAGCTCTGAACCCACCTACTGTGCTTTGCTGCATTTCATTGATATTGCACGGCTCCTGGTTGCTAAATCTGCATTGGTCTCTTCCTGTGTGAACACTCCTTGATAACTTCAGAACACTTCACTGGGGTATCTGGACGTTTAAAGAGCAACACTGGACTAGCTTACAGGACTACTAGTTACTCAGAGCTGACTTGCTGGGACTAAATACTTTAAATGATCAGGCCAGTAACAAAGCAGCCATTCAGTTAGTCCATCAGGAAGTGTTGCTCTTGTCTCTTGATATGAGAAGATTTAAATAGAAGATAGAAACTTAGACATTTTAAAAATTTCTTGTTAACTGCAGTAAAATTCAAGGCCTTTAGATCATCATTGGATTCATTAAGGTGTCAATATTAGGGCTGCACGATTAATCGTTAGAAAATCGCGATCTCTATTCATACTTATGTGCGATCTCATTTCCAAATGACAACGATTTAAAAAAAAAAAAAGAAAGGGAAAAAAAGACGACGATTGTACCGCATTTTGATCCAGGACGTAATCTGCAAGAAAACAAGCGCTCACTCTTCCTGCTCAACAAATGACAAGGGTGGAGCCTTATACCACGTGATACAGAAGCTGTGCCGTGTGATGCTAAAATTAGCAGGGAAAAAACAACGGAGAACACGTCAGGGATGACGAGGATGTGACAGGGGAAAATCCGTCCCGGTCAACCACCCAAACATCAATA